ACAAACATGGAGAAAATGAGGCAAAAGGTAAACATCATCACAGGGAACAAGAGATCTATGTCTAGACCAGGTGACTGAAGAACCAGTAGCTTTACTTTGTAAGATGCACACTTAATGGTTGTGCCTGGGCATCAGAGATGTGGGAAATGTAATGAGATAATGGTACAAAAAGGGGAAATTAAAGTGTTCTCAATATTTTCCACAAAATATATTCTAAGCCTTTATATCCCCATTCTGCATGGAAACTTTCACTTTCCTGAATTTGTGGACTCCCAGTAAGCAACTATAATGGTTTACAACGTGATCCATTTCGTATCATACGTGTATGTGGTCCCAGGACAATAGGTTAATTAAGATGCATAGTCTTGACATAGCAGATCCAGGGTTCTGACTGTTAGAAAATACGGAAAACACGTTTTTCAATTCAACACCTAAGACAGCACTAAAGCCTAAGAAAAGGTGTCCATTTTTCAACATTACAGGGGTGCCATGTTGACAATTTCCATTTTTACAGGTTTGAGCTTGTGTAATTTGAGGAACTCCTTGCGAGTTTACCTCCAAGACATGCCTTATGTTGAGAAAGGATATGATCGTGATTCAAAGAAACAAAATCCTCACATGAAAAGTCAAAACCGTAGGATGAATTTTTTAATTATTTTTTTCACACTTCCAATGTCCTACTTCCGAATCCTTAGCGTCATGATGTTAAGTTTAGACTCATAGTGAGTTAAACTTTTAAAAAATTAACTTTGAACATCACTAGCAATCAGCATTCATACACATTAGACAGTGAGAAGGGGAGATAATGGAGTGAATTAGGTAGAGAAGAAGAGTTTTGCTGACTAGGGTAGGGAGGGCAGAGTGACCGGTATATAATAGAAAAACTACATTAACCCTTACAATCCATGTTGTCAATCTCTGGAGCAGGCAAGAACAGAGTTTTCTCCTCTAATAAATCAATAATTATTTACTGTGATGTTTTGGTCACTCAGAGCTTAAATAATGTTTAAATAAATTTCCCAGTGGTGATTCATTTTTTTTCAAATATTTTTATCCGTGTTTTATAGCCTCCTCATCATACCACAGCGTCTCTGACAAACTTCAGTTTGCTTTCCGATTTCTGAATTTTCTCCATTAACCACATTCTGTCCATTCTGACCAGGGCTGCATTACTCAATCAGCAAGGTACGCACAGAACTGATTGTGCCTTCCCACCAATCTGCAGTGCACAATTTCACCTATACCTCACCACGTCAAAGATGCGGTGAAACCCGTGAAATTGCTCACCACAGATTAGCAAGTAAATACAATCAAGCCCATGAGTACCTTGCTCAGTGCAAACCACTGCATACCATGCTTACTGATTAATCCGCCCCTGATTCTGACTCTTAACCTAGGTGCCAAATAGAAAAACTTTCATCACCTTAATTTACAAGCGTTTCCCCTACTGTTTTATTTGCTCCTTTTTAGTTAGAGTTCAGTTTCTCACTGTATGGCTTTGAAATACAGAATTAAGAAAGAAATCTTCAAAGAAAAAATTAATTTGTGATTTGAATGATTTTTAAACAATGACATTATTATATTCCCTGAACATAGCGGGTTTTCTGTTCCCAGATCTCACGCTCATTAATCAGATTCCAAGGTTACATTTAAAACAACAGTCACATTAAAAGGGAATTCCTCTCTACCTGCAGACTTGGATGAAGCAGGACATGAAACTCAAGAGTTCAATTTATACTTTCCTATAATTAAATGCTCGTCTATGTGTCACTGACTTCAGAATCTGCAGATGGATGTTTGATATTTGGTAAATGAGCTCATCTCACAGATGAATGAAAAAACTGCTATTAATAGATGAGTTACAAATATGTCCTAGTCAAACTCTCCATAGCCCGTAAAACCCAACCCAAAGTCACAGCAGTAATAGCTCCATGATCCTTATGCCATGTACCTTCTATTGAGTTCAATAGTTTTGTTTATCCTTTGTTCAAATTAAGGCAAATTGATATTTTCAATAGCTACAACTAGAAAGACCAAAACAGTCTCATTTCTTGGCTAGTGCTAAATGGCTCCTGAGAGATAGTCATGGCAGGTCTCACACGATAGCTTCTATAGATATCACAAAATATGATACTATTCTGGCTAAAAAGTGGTTTTGCTAAGCTTTGGGTTTTTATGATGTTTCAAAGAAAATGCTCTGACACGGTTGCGGAGGTCAGGCTTCATAGTATTTCTCAGAGAAGTTGCACTGAGCTGAATCACTTAGGATGGGAGAAAATACGTGTTTAAGGGGATCTGGTATCAGGAAGGGAGCTTGGAAAATGAAAGGTGAGAAGGTGAGACAAAGACTGAATATAAATGGATAAGAAATAGGAAGGGCAAACGTAAAGACAAAACCAAGGACCCTTCCAAACCAACTCAGTTGTAAATTATCATAACACAGTCATGGAAGCACTTGAGAAGAGCAGTGCTTTCACGTGTAGCTAATCAGTAAGAAACTCCTGATTTCTGTGCTCAGGAAGGCACTGGCTAGCCAAAGCATGCTTGAAATACACTGGTCCTGGTAGTCAGAGTAGGTTAAAAAATCAAAACTAAATCCATTGCTGTCGAGTCGTTTCTGACTCATAGTGACCCTACAGGACAGGGTAGAACTGCCCTGTAGGGTTTCCAAGAAGCGGCTGCTGGATTCAAACTGCCCACCTTTTGGTTAGGAGCCGTAGCTCTTAACCACGACGCCACCATAGTTTCCACAGAGTAGGTTAGGCATCCGAAATTAAGCAGGCTCTAAAGACCTTTCTATAACAATTGGGACAAGGATGGAAAAAAGAACTATTCTATCCTTCTAAGAAAATACCAAGTAACAGATTTTAGTGCAGACACTGGACTTCTAGAACAACTCTAATTTAGCCCATCTAATGAAACTCACATACTCAGATAATATACGGGCACTAAAATTCACACATTCAGGCTAATAGCAAGTGTCCCAGTAATACAGGTGTGAGTGTGAAAGCTAAGTAAGGCCTAAACTTTACCCAGCTACTTTAGAATGGGTGCATGTTGGATGTACTTGGCATCCTTTATTAATGCAAAATATTAAAGTATGTTCAAATTCTGCCCAACAAGCAGTCCAAGGACTATATATACAATAATACAATTTGGTGACAAAATACACTCAAATGTCTACTGGAAACTTAGTATGAAAATACTCAGGTGCCTCACTGGTGTTTAAAAAAAAACATAGCCTAGAAAAGCCAGCTTCTGAGGCACTCAAAAGACCCCAGGTGCCAAAAGAGAATCTCATTATTCTATCTAGCATTTTTTTCCCATGGAGAATAGTACTCCCTAAAATGCTAAGTTTGGATATTACATAAAAGTTTACATTTCAATTATTTCCCAACAAATCCAGGGGAAAGTTAATCATACAGATGTGTTTTTATCTTTCATGTTTAGAGATGATAACCTCAGCCTTCTCACACTTACTTCACCCTCTGTTATTCTTAACTATGTATTAAATGACATGGAAATATAATTCATGAAAAATGCTCAGCAAAATGAAAATGGTAACTATGAACAGAATAAGAGAATCTACTTCATTTTTTTGTTACAAGTAAAATGTGTAACTTTCTCTTTTTCTCTATCAACTTTTAAACTAAGTGACTTACGAAAAAAACTTTACAATGGTGAAATTTCTTACTCATAACCACAAAAAGCTTTAATAAAAATAGATATTCTGACATAATAGGGAAGTCATAAACTTGATGTTGTCTTTACAGCAAATTGGTTTATCCAAGGAAGAAGTACAGCAATTTGGATAGTCTTTATGAGATTTATCACCCAAAGAGAAAAAATGTAAGAAAAAGGGTGATTGTCTCATATGACTACCAAAGTGCTCAGTATGTTCATGTTTGAGTTTAATTTTGAGTGACACGGGTTACTAGAGGAAAATACTCAGTAGTGAAGAAACAAGTATGGACCGAAGCAAGCTCAAATACCTATTTGTATTTTGATTATATAAAAAAATGCCATCTATCTATCTGTCTATCTATCTAGTTAAAAATAATCAAAGCACAAGGAAATTAAAACAGGGTTTATTCAAGTTAGTTATTCTATACATATTTAGAGAGATCATTCTGTTTCTAAAAAAACAAAATGGCTCAATGTAGGCTAGTTACAATGAAGCTTTAAAGAGAAGAGGAGAGAGTAGAATAGAAAATCAACCGTTGGCTACTCTTAAATTGATTGATTGAACCCTGGGTCCCCTTACTGAGATCAGCTGCCATCAGGTTACTAGGTAGCTGCTGAGAGGGGCATTCATTTACACAAATCTTTAGGTATAGCCTGGAGGTTTTAAAATGATAAAAGGTACCTCCATTATTCAGGGAATTTCAAGGGTTATCTCTCAAGAAGCAAGGGAAATTACCTTAAGTTACATTCTTTGCATTAGATAAACTCAGTTACTTTATGGTTAACAAACATTTTTGTCACAAAGGGGGTTTGCAAAGACTTAATCACTGTGTCACACTGGGACTTAGTTTTATATATATATTATATATATACACACACACACACATATAAATACATGTACATATATATCTATGTATATACATAACCTAGGTACATACGTAGATATAGAGATATATATATGTATATACGTATATACATAGATATATATATGTATGTCGGTTGGTTTGCACAAGGGAAATGCTTTGTACAAAATGCCATTCAATTGTGGGAATCAAGTTTCAGTGTGATAGCTTCCCTTTGTTAAACAGCATGATTTTATGACAGATGTCTCTGTCCTAACTTAGCTTACTTGGTCTTTATTTGGTTGACTGAAACCATCTTTAAGTCCCTCTGTTATTCACATTATATCTAATTTCCAAAACACCTACCAGTTATTGACTAATAAAATGGTTTACTAAACACATAAAACTTAGTGGCAATAGTGCTTTCAAACAGATAACACTGATCGATGACATAGCATTTCTTATTCTTCATACCTGTGTACTCGGGTGGGCAAAGGCATGTGTAGTTATTAATTCCATCGACGCATGTAGAATTATTTTCACAGTCATTGTCTTCACAGTCATCGATATTGACTTCACAATTTTCTCCTTCAAACCCATCCGCACAAATACACCTACAAGTCGGGAAAAAAGGCAAAAACATACTTTTGCTGCATTTAAATATTGTTTAAATATTGAAAAACAAAAAAACATAAGTACACTCATCAATTATAGAGCTTTTAACTACAAGAAACTGATTTTTAAAATGTGTTTAAATGACATGTTTAAGCTTTGATTTAAGGTAAAAAACCAAAACCAAATCTGACACCGTCAAGTCGATTCCAACATAGTGAACCTATAGGCAGTGTAGAACTGCCCCATAGAGGTTTCAAAGAGCAGCTGGTGGATTTGAACTGCCCACCTTTTGGTTAGCAGCTGAAAATCTTAACCACTGCACCATCAGGGCTCCAGTGATTTAAGGTGATGTTCCCCAAACCAGAAACCACTTGGAAAAAAAAAAATTCATGTTGGCTGCAAGACAGTAAACGTCTTCATGATCCTACACTTCAATAAATCCAATATATTTACAAGTCCAAACACAAGCAAAATTTACTCTACAGTCCTAGATACTTTAATCTCTAGTTGTGCACTAATAAGATAACTCATGCTTCTTTGCTCATAAATGATGAGAAACTGGTTCTAACTAAAAAAATAAAACATCTACTACCTGTGTGTTATGTCCTTGATGTCTGGAAACAAACAAACAAAAAAAGAAATCTAAAAATAAAATTTTGCCTTCTTTGTAATTACAAAATATGCATTTTATTTTTAAGACTCAATAAATACAATTTCCCCCAGGCACAAAACATTGCACATTTATTCTTGAAAAAGCATTAGAACAATTTTTGGTTAAAATCTAGATAAAAAACAGATAATTTCATAATGGAATGAATAAATGAAATAAATGTCTTCTAAAAAGTGACATTTCTAACAAGCTGTAGTAGTAGATTAGTATACTTATGTGGAATTATTAGTGTCATTTAATAAAGAACTCTATTTTACAATTCATGACATACATCTGGAGTAACTGTACTATATGATTAAACAGCTCCAAATTAAAAATGTTCACAGCATGTTTGTCTACTCATATTGTGGCCTGGAAAGGAATCATTAATTTTCTACTTCAGTGGGATCTACATCTTATCATTTGCATGCCTTCTGTTAAAGAAATAGACAAACCAGCAGATAAATATATGACTTGCAGTAGGGAACGAGTTGGCTACTAATAAGCATAACAGAGCTAATACTTTGTCTTGCCCTAATCTAACCTGAATAATCAAAATCTGTGCCTGTGTTTTAATTCCTTATTTTTGCAGCATCCTAAGCTGAGAATACTATAGTGTGTCCAAGTTTTTTATTAAGTTTTTTAATATTGCAATATTTCCAAGATGGACAAATAAATATTGTCTTTATCAGCCTTATAAGGTTCTTTTTAAAATAGCATCCTTTGATTTGAAAAAGAAAATAATTGTCTGCTTAGTTAGGCCAACATGTCAGAAAGAGAAGATCAAGATTAATGACAGAAACCTACCAGAATCCATCCTTTTCTCCTTCTTTCAAGCGGCAAGTTCCTCCATGTTTACATGGGTTACTGATACATGCATGGATCGGGACATCGCAATCCTGCCCCTGGAGAAGGAATGGTCAAGTAAGATTGAGTGTAAATACAGGAGTTCTCAGCACATAGCGAAAGCACAATAGAGTCATGAATGCACACACAGAAAAGCTGTTTTCAGATTGTAGCGCCACAAAAGCTCCTACTTACCTTGAAACCGTATGGACAGGTGCATCGATAGAAGTCAACTGGGTCATTGTTGCAGGTGCCATCATTTTTACATGGATTTGATAAACAGGGATTACATTTAGCGAGAATATTAACATCCACAGGACCTAAAAATAAACAGAAAAAAATTATAGACACTGATGCTTTCTTAAAATTATTTTTATGCCTTAATGAAACAAGAAATTTTGTACCAAATCACTGGTTACATATCTACATGTGTTTCTCTTCCATGATGAAACCAGATATCAGCAGCATCATAATATACTCAAGAATTCAACAGGAGCCCTGTGAGACTGACATTAGAGAGACTCAAGGTTGCTAGTGAATTTGATGTTGTTAATGGTGCCAATGTGACAGGGTCAGTCCCCTAACACAGCCAAGGAGCTTATGTGGCTGTGTTCCATGACCATGGCCTGCACCTTAGCCTCAGCCAGCTGACATAGAAAATACATGCCACTGGTCCCACAAAGGGCTGTGTGTCTGTGTGCCCATGTGTGTGTATGCACGCTCATGTGTGTATGTGTTGGGGGGTAATAAATAAGTAGAATTTCATCACTGCAACAAAAAAAAGTACCTACTCTGATGAAATTAGTCTAGTAAAGGTACTTTCATTCAGGAGATACAAGACAGTGCCATTTTTCAGGCATATGGAAATAAACCAAAAATGTAATCTCCATTATATTCTTCCCCTTATTCTTTTGATTAACTTTTTTAGCCCATTAGTGCAATCAATATTGAATATACCATGGACTGCCAGAAGAACGAACATGTCTGTCTTGGAAGAAGTACAACCAGAATACTCCTTAGAAGGAAGGATGGTGAGACTTTGTCTCGCATACTTTGGACATGTTATCAGGAGGGACAAATCCCTGGAGAGGGACATCATGCTTGGTAAAGTAGAGGGTCAGGGAAAAAGAGGAAGACCTTCAATGAGATGGACTGACACACTGGCTGCAACAACGGGCTCAAGCATAACAAGGATTGTGAGGATGATGCAGGACAGGGCAGTGTTTCCTTCTAGTGTACACAGGGTCGCCAGGAGTTGGAACCAACTCGACCGCATCTAACAACAGTGCAATCAAATGATTGGAGAAGCTTCTATATCTTTCCCTCCAGGCAGAAAACACCATAGGAATGATCTCTACTTGCAGACTCATCTTTTGGGGCATTTTAAAAATCTCATGATCCACAACAGCCTATATTAAATGCAGACTGAGCTGCAGCCATTTTCTTTTAGTTGCACAAATGAATTCCTTAAATGGCTGGTATTGTGGAAACGGTACTATACTCATCACAATTATGTTCCACTGCTGCTGCTCTTTGCAATGTTTGTGAGGGGTCATTAGACTTCCTTTTGGAAACTGTGTCTGATTTGGGTAATAAAACACAAATATTTCATAATGTAAACATTAATTATATTTCTGCTATTCCAAGGAGCAGCTGGTGGATTTGAACTGCCAACCTGTTAGTTAGTAGCCGAGCTCTTAACCACTGTGGCACCAGGTCTCCATCTGATCTCTCTGTACCTCTTTATTCTGATTGGGAAAAGCAGCAATAGTTCCAGTTGCATGGTTCATCACACATAATTGCCAGCAAAGTTCTCCAGGACAATTTTATAGCATGGACTTCTCCCCTCCATCACTGCTCTAACCTCTAAGATACCTTCATCCTAACAGTTGTAGGACTTTTGCTCATATAAGCAACCTTTGATCTAATTTTTCTTCAGCTGAGAACGTATGTCTGTAAATTGTCAGTCTACCAATAGAAACTCATGTATTTAGGACATTGGAAAAATGAACTGTCAGTTAAAACAGTTATTAAACCCACTGTCATCCAGTTATTTCTGATTCATAGTGACTCTACAGGACAGAGTTAAACTACCCCACAGGGTTTCCAAGGCTGTAATCTTTACGGAAGCAGACTGCACATCTTTCTCCCTTGGAGTGGCTGGTGGGTTCGAACTGCTGATCTTTCGGTTAACAGCCGAGTGCTTAACCACTATGCTACCGGGGCACCTTAAAACAGTTATTTAAATTAATGTAATACCTTACACTAAATGGTATGTGTTTGTTATCACACTTACAGGCAGCCATAGAAAAGGAAATACCTAATTATTAGTGGATCCCTTAGCTAGCCTGGAAGAAAGGAGACTCTTAACTCAGAAAAAAAGGCACAGGATGAAGCAGCTCAGAACGTTCAACGGGAAAACAGCACGTCAGCAACTGCAAGGACTGTAAACATTCACCTGGCCACTTCCCAAGACCTTGAGAAAAACGTCTTTTTGCCTATTTTTGTGCGTTCAACCTTGTAAGACTGCGGTTTGAATAACGAGTCCAGGGTTGGCAGTCTCTAAGTTTATTCTTAGAGAGTGACACAGCAGCTGTAACAATGGGCTCAAACGCAGCAACGACTGAGGATGGCGCAGGACCAGGCAGTGTTCTGCTCTGTTGTACACAGAGCCGCTATGAGTCAGAACAGACTTGATGACAGTTAACAACAACGAGTTTATTCTGCAGAAGGTGACATCTTTCAAAAATTATCTCTGATTACTCAGATAAGAAAGAACCTAGAGATTGTTTTAGAAAAAAACATTGGATACCTTTTGAAGAATTTAATAAAGCACACAGGTAATGCAATTGCCAGGCCAAAGAAGACCCAAACCACATCACTACACAGTCAACGTTTATTTGACAAATGTCCAGTGAACCATACCTGATTAATGATCACTAATTGCTCCAGTTTTTCCAGGACCAAATTTCATTTCTGATAGAAATAATCAGTCCCTGGGTGGTACAACTGGTTAAGCATGCAACAACTACCGGAAAGGTTGGAGGTTTGAACCCACCCAGGTGTGCATCAGAAGATAGGGTTGGCGATCTGCTTCCTAAGGTCACAGTCTCAAAAACTCTATACAGCAGTTCTGTTCTGCACACGTGGGGTCACCGTGAGTCGGAACAGACTCAACGGCCGCTAACAACAATATATAAATCATCAAATTGAATTATTTTCAGTATCTGTAATTTCTTACGGATATATGAAAGGAGATTGGTGGCCCCTCATGTTTATTCAGTTTCGTTAAAGTAATCAAAATTACACACCTTCCCATATGCACAGGCCTCTTTGGGAAGTTTCTTTGACCCAGTGAACAGTTTTGATGGCATCAGTATTGGAAATAGAGAAAAATTTCGAGTTCTAACATCTTTAGGTTGGTAAACTTGACTACTACAGTTACCATTCTATTTCCTTTTCTCTTTTCAAGCCCCTTTGAAAATCAATCTTCAAGGATAATTCTTATTTCCACTACTTGAGTTGGACTGGTGAGATAATTCAAAAGATGCCCGTAAGTTACACAAATTCCAAGTATCAGCAGCATCCTCTCGTATCTCCAATTTATTATAATGATATAATTCCCTTTTCTATTTTATGTAGATTGTAACTGCGCTTAACTAAAAATCCTCCTTATAATGTGATTTTTACATCTTTCTGGTTTATCTAAATCTGCTTTTTTTCTATGTTCTAATACCTCTGAACTATATCCCTTGCACCTGGCTCTCTCCTCTCATTCATCTTCCTGCCCATATTTTGAATCTCTTTTAGCTCTCTCCTCTGTGTCCACTGTGGGATTCCTTTTCGAACCAATGTACTTTCTCTGAGATATTTCCAGCAACGTAATTCAAGGAGAATGACATCTTTAATCTGTTTATATAATAAGTAGATATTAGTGTTAAAAGAAGATGCTAAGTAAAGCAAGTCATGATGAAACTGTAGAAGTTACCACAACTCTCTAGGCAGAATTCTGCACACTTGAATACTCCCAGGTGAAAAGGAGATGTTCAAGACAGGAATTATACAAGTTGTTTAGTAAAACTAGTAATTCCGGACACAGAATCTGGAGCCCATCAAGCCAAGTTAGTAACCCAGATTTGTCACTTAAGTGTGTGGCACTGGGATAATAGCAGCACCCGCCTCCTTGAGTTGTTGTCAGAATGAGTTTATGAATGTCAAGCTCTGAACAGAGTGAAGTCGGACACACGGGTCACAAGAAGTACTGACACTCTTTTCTCTATTTCCAAAGACAGGTTGTTTGTTGTTAGTTGCCACCGAGTCAGCGCCCACTCATTTTGACCCCATGTGTGCCTAGTAATGAAATTGCACTCTGTAAAGTTTTCAAGGCTGTGACCTTTCAGAGGCAGATCACCCGGCTTTTCTTCCACAGCACCTCTGGGTGGGATTGAACTGCCATCCTTTTGTTTAGTAGCTGAGCACTTAACTGCTCTGGGGTTATAGATATTTAGTAATGTCACTGGAATGAAGGAGTCCAGTCTAGGCTTGCTGGACTGATTTAAGATTTGGTTTTGACATGAGACAGCCCTACAGCATCAGCTCTGTGGATGGAGGTGTGTTTAGCTTAATAATTCAAAGGGAAAATAAGCAGAAAGTTTGGTTAACAATTTGTCTGTGTCAGTTACTTAAATCTTTAATGGAGCAACTGCTGGACCTCAAATCCATTAAAGCTTGTAGGCAGACTTGCCTACTTGACTCAAATCACTAGCTATGTACCTGACACCAACACTGCCACCCACTGAGAATTCTATCTCACTGTGATTTATTACCAAAAGCTTCAGTAAAAATTTCTAACTATATCCCAGAGTCTGCCTTCACGCTGGCATCCTTGGGAACATGAGTCAAATAACAAAATCCACTCACACTGCCTTTGTACAGAAGTCAGAGGTACATCAAAGACAACTCAGGGAACATGCGGGGGGTATTTGATGTTGGGTATAATTAACTATAAGGTGGTTTTTATTTAAAACCAAGAAATTCTATGCTCCACTTGCTTTTAAGTTACTCAATTTCTTAAGCTTTAACATCAAATGCATATCTGTTAACAACATTCCATCAAGTCATTCATTCATTCATCAAAAACTTATCGAGGGTCTTCTTAGTGCCAGGCACTAGGCTAAGTTTTGGGGATTCAAACTCAAGTAAATGCCTAAGATGACAGCCTAGGAAACCCTATGGGGCAGTTCTACTCTGTCATACAGGGTCACCATGAGTCAGAATCGATTTGATGGCACACAACAACATACATACATATATATATTAC